GGCTCGTGCAGGTCTTCGTGCCTAGTCAGCTTGCAAACTTGTGCAGCCGAGTCACAGTTGTGCCCGGTCAGGTTACAGTAGCGCCTGTCCAAACTGCAGGTAATGCTGCAGCACCACGGAGGTGATGGAGTCCGATATGTCAACGGACTTCGTTTAGAATAGAATCCTTGCGGGAGCTGGCTTAAACGACGACATGTTTCTCTCTCGCAGCGTGCCGCAGTTTCGACGTGCCGTTGGTCTCCTGATGGTTTTGTATGCCGGTTTCGGACCCGGTCCTCGTCGGGGAGCCGCATACCCGGCCGTCAGGCTCTCGTGCGGACCTGCTCGCTCCGCCAGCCCGCGGGCTCGGTCCGCTGACCCAGTCCGCTGCCCCAGTCCGCTGGTCCGGCGCTCGAGGTCAGGCGGCCCGCTGGAGCCGGACTTCCGCCGGCCGGCGTGGCGCGCGCGCAGCTGGCGCCGACGCAGGATGTGACCGTCTGTCGACGGTGCGGCGGATGCGACGCGCGCCGGTCGGCCACGGCGCCGCCGCACCGCCACCAGCTGGCCACCAGGCGCCGGAGCTGTGGGCGCGGCGGTGTCTGCGGTTTGTGGGTTTTGTTTTGAGGCTTTCGACGAGTGCGCTGTCACGGCAGGCAGCACCGTCAGCATCAGCAGCAATATGAGCTGCAGCTGATGCGCCGTAAGCGCCGAACGGCAGCGACCCGGTCGTGTCCGTGGGTTGCGCTGTCTCGATTGCGGCTTAATGACAGGCGAATTGCCCTACGGAGCGGTTTGGCCTCGGGCGGCCGGCCCCTCGGCCGATATGTCGGCGAGAGAGGTCACAGACCAGGCGTCGTAAGATGGTAGGAGAGAGTAGGTCAGCCCCCCTCCCCCCCCCCCCACACACACACTCCAAACTGGCCAAGCTGCAACGACGCTTGGTCCCGCTCTTCCTGACAGCGTTCTCGAGGAGGGTTGTCGGCTCTGTTGCCTCAAATCGGTTACCGAGTTGGCCGTACATTGGTAACGGGATGAAAATGACGTACTTCACTCATTTAGCTATGCAACGTCTGAAGTCTGTCTGACATTCAGATGCACTGACAGCTATACGGAGCGCGAGAGATGCATAAGCTCCTCCATCTTGTATGAACTCAACATTGCACGGCCACACGACTCGGCAAGCTGCGAGCTTTTGAAAGGATGTTAGGCGATGGGGGCTCTTCGGACATAGGATACGAATGCAGCCTGCCGCCCGGCTCCAGGCACGCAGCATCTGGTAGTGGTCTCGAATACACCGTCTGGAACTGCATGAACTGTAAATCAAGACGGAGCTGTAAGCGGACAGATGGGTGTCGGGTAGTATGGCGGGTTTCGATAAGAGTCTTTAGTCCAGAGCCGAGGCTGTTGGGGACCATTTCGGTTACGGCTCTGAGTCGTGGCTCAGAACGTGTTCTTTGTCAAATAGTTTTGCATGCAGCCTGTTTAGCGATGTTCGCGGTTCCGGGAGGGTCTGGAAGAGCCACGCGCCGAGGGTAGGGCGGCTGTGTGAAGCCTCCAGCCGTCCCTCGCGTTTTATTTCACGGTTGACGCTGTTCTAGTGTTGGCGCTTCATTGTATCTATTATAGCATTCTACGACCATATGAAAATCCTGATCGAAATTGATGCATTGTGTGATTTGGTCTGATGATCAAGGCAAGATGAGCAGTTTGGGGTAAATAAATATCCTAAGAATCGTGCTGCGTTAAAGTGATGTTAGATCACCGAAACTATTGCTTTCTTGGTATGCGGTTATTGACTTCATGATCATGAACATAGATACTGAATTTTCGCGAGTGACAGCATGCATTCGAGCCAACTTTAAGTGTACGTAGGCACCGATTAGTAGCATGTATTTACGTCGATTCCGTCAAGCATAATCCCAACACTGCACCTGCGACAACCTCGAAACACGCTCAAAACACCAACGCGGTACGGGAAGCAGTTTGCACCTTCATCTTCTTGGCAGTGTGTTGCGTTGTGTAAGGCTGCGTATCATCAGCACCTGCATGGAGCACATCCCTCGCTCCCAGGCAGAAGAAGCATGTTTCGCCCTTGTCCGTGGGGCTGCTACAACAGAAGCCGAGCCGTCGCTCACGGCAGCAACGCCGGCGGGGCCGCCCCGGTGGGGGCCGGCTGCCGCGCGCTGCCCCTCCGGCCGCTAGTAGTACTCGGAGTCCGCGTAGGGGTAGTCGTCATAGTCGTACTGTGAATCGTCGTACGTGTAGTCGAGGACGGACGTGGCGTCGGTGGGCGCTTCAGTCAGCGGCGGCTCCGGCGCCGGTTCGGTGTCGGCCTCCGTCTCCGGCTCGGCGTATGCCTCGGTGATCGGCGCCGCGCCCGGCTGGCGGCCACCGTCGCCGCCGGCCGCCGCGGCCACGGCGTCCTCGGCTGCGAGCGTTGGCATGCAGCGCTGCCGGCACTCCTCGATCGTGTGGAACGCATTGGCGTTGCCGCCGCAGCCGCCGTAGCCGAACTGCTCGCATCGCTGGGTCTCGGTGTTGAAGAAGTAGTGCAGAAGGTAGGCCCTGCATTTACCTGCATCTGGCTGCAGCTGGCACGGGTCCACCCGGGTGCTGCAGTCGGGTGCGGCCCTCGGCGTTTTTTCGGCGCCTGCGTGGGGCTGGGCGGGGCCTCGTCCGGCAGGCGGGGGGAAGCGCCCGCAGGCATGCAGCGCTGCTCGCACTCCTCACGCGAGTCGAAGTTGTTGGCGTTGCCGTCGCAGCCGCCGTAGATGAACAGCTCGCATTGCTGGGTCTCCGTGTTGAAGAAGTAGCTCCTGAGGTAGGCATGGCATTCACCTTTGTCTTTCGGCAGCTGGCACGGGTCCACCTCGGGTGCTGCTGTCGGCTGGTACAGCGGTCTGCGTTCGTCCGGCACCTGCGTGGAAATGGGCGGGGCCTCGTCCGGTAGGCTGGGGGAAGCGCCCGCAGGCATGCAGTGCTGCTCGCACTCCTTACGCGTGCGGAAGTTGTTGGTGTTGCCGTCGCAGCCGCCGTAGCCGAACAGCTCACATTGCTGGGTCTCCGTGTTGAAGAAGTAGCGCCTGAAGTAGGCTCGGCATTCACCTTCGTCTTTCGGCAGCTGGCAGTCCACCTCGGGTGCGGCAGTCGGCCCAAATCCTCGTCCGCGAACTTGAGGCGCCCGCGTCGTCGGGCGCAGGTGTGGCCGCACGTGCGTTTGGTCATGCACGTGCGGCGCCCGCGTCCGGCTGGCCCCGGCGCCCGCCGGCGACCTGTGGGGAGCGTCCGTGGTCGGGGCGTAGACTGGCGGCCGCGCCCCCTGCCGACTGCGCAGCACCTCCGTCCCATCGTAGGTGCGGTCTTGGCGACCGCCGTAGATGGGCGGCGGCTCCTGGCACGCGCTCTCGCACTCCGCCGCTGTGCCGAAACTGTTGGCGTTGCCGCCGCAGCCGCTGAAGTAGAAAGGAGCGCACTGGAGGCGTGCCGCCACGTACGAGTAGCGGATCACGTAGTTGTTGGGCCGGTCTGTACAGGCGCCTTCGACCCGGTCGGGCAGCCGGCAGACGGCCCGGCCGGTCGGAGGCGGATGCGTCTTGGGCGGCCGGCCGCCGGCGAGCACCGTGCCGCACCGCGCCTTGCACGCCGCCTCGCTCTCGAACCGGTTGTCGTTGCCCAGGCAGCCGCTGTATGTGAACTCGCGGCAGGCTCCGCCCTCGGGGTCGCTGTACCAGCGCGGCTTCGCGCGCTTGCAGGCGCCGCGCACCGCCGGCAGGTGGCAGAGCGCGTCGCCGCCGGGCGACACGCACTGCGCTGCGCACGCCGCCTCGCTCGCGAACCGATTGCCGTTGCCGCCGCAGCCGCCGTACCAGAAGCGCAGACAGCCGCCATATTCGATGTCGTAGTACCAGTGCACGGCGAAGCGGTCGCAGGCGCCGCGCTCGGGCGCGAGTGCGCAGCTGGTCTGGGGCACGGCCGCGCGGCCGCCCGCCGCCAGGGCGCACAGCAGCGCTGCCACGGCTAGAGCACGCGCCATGGCGGCCGACGGGTGACGACTGACGCCTCGGCGGCCGCGCCGCCGTTCGGCAGAGCGGCGCATGCAACGCCTATCGGGCCGCCGCGAGCCGGGCCGGCAGCTGGGTCGGCGGTACGGGTCCGGCCCGCGCCGCTCGCCGCCGAGCGGGCCGGCAGCTGGGTCGGCGGTGGTCCGGTCCGCCGCGGGATGCCGGCGCCGGCGCCAGCGGGCGCGCCCGAGGCCGAGGCTGCAGGTGGCGTCTGGCGGCGAGCGGCCGGAGATCTGTTGCTAACGGTGGCGACACGCTGCCGGAACCAGTGAGCCTGGGGAAACGCGACGCCGGGGAGGCCCGGCCAAAGATGGCAACGTGAGGCGTGCTTTGATGCTGTGGTTTTGTTGAGCGTGAAATATGCTATCTCGCCAGCAGTCGCGAGTCGTTTTTCGTGTTTTGTATCGAATGGTGTCTTCTTTCTCAAAACAAACAGTTTTTTCTGTTATCAACTGCTGGCCGCTGCGTGATGATATAGCAAACTTCACAGCAACACCTTGCGCCTTTGTAGATTTTAGAGCGCCAGCTGTGGCCCGGACTCTACCCTTGTGACTTGTCGCTTGTTCGCACTAGTGGGGAATGCGACGCTGTCGCATGGTGTAGCGCCTGTCGCTGGTCATTGTGTCGACCGCGCCATTGTGTGCGGTGCATGCCTAGTCGCATGCCGCCTGGCGTCTCAACGGCAGTGTCGCCCTGGGAACCTCCGCGATGGCGGCAACGGAGAAGTTCGGCATGCTTGCATGTCCACAAGGAATGTGTATATCGTTGGGGGGCCTGGCTGTAACAAGAGTCAATGCAGAAGACGCCATACGTTCGCCTCCGCCGGGGACGAGCCTGTGGCGTCGGCGTTTGCGGTGGCTCGTCCCAGCCGTGGACGAGCCTGTGGCGTCGGCGTCTGCGGTGGCTCGTCCCAGC